GCTCGTGAGTTGGATTTTTTAACTTGTTAAAAACCAGTCGGAACTTGCTGATATTTTCTGAATGGGCTGCGCATTAGACAGGACTAGGTCATCCTGCGTTGGACATAGTTTCCTCTTGGTTACTACATGCTGACCAGGTTAGTTGCTTATTTTTTTAAATAAACTTATTAAGTGAGTAGCAACATTTTCTCCGTCTGCTACATTTTGGAAATTTAAACTCGGTGTGATCTCGTGCAGTTGAGGTCGTCGTTATCTGTGCATCACAGTTGGACCTCCAGTTAGTGTCCATCGCTTTTACTTTCTAGCTCTTGACCCAAGCACACACGCATTTTTTTTTTCTCCTGTAAATTATTTCAGTTTACAAGTGCTTCAGTAAACGGATTTTCCGGATCTCACTGAGTTCATCCCACACTATTTCTCATTTTTCAACAAAGTCCATATTTAGAGGAAGCATGGCGTACGCAGTATATGCCGTATATGTACAATATCACAAGCTGTGGACAGTATGCTGCACATCGACCTACTTACGAGATCTGTGAAAAATTTTACAATCAGAGGTATGGGAGTGATAATAAATAATTTTTCAAGAATTTTTTGTGGTTACCGGAGAATGCTTCCTCTTCATCCAGCCGAAGTGCAGGCCAGAACATTTGAAACAATGTGAATTTTTGCTCATTTAGTTCTACAAAAGCAGTATTGCGCAACGGAACATTCAACGGTTATCAGAAATGGATTGCGCCAAAGACTACGGAATATAGGTAAAATACTCATTTAAATGTTTATAATTCTAGGTCGTTAGACATTCTCAATTTGTTTAGGATTGAAGCATACGGGGCAGCTGGAGGGCAGTTACCAAAGCAGACGATTAATAACTATGGAGGCCGAGTGGTCACGGTGATCAATCTGACGACAGCGATGGAGCTGGATTTGCTAGTCGGCCAAATGGGTGAAAGTCCGTGCGATCAGTTCCATGAATCCGCTGCTGATTTGGTCAGTTCGTCGTCCGCCCTCATTCTCCAAGAAATTAAAGTTTTGCTATATTATGGTTTAGTGTGAATCCCAAGTTTATATAGTTACCAGTTTTTGCACACAGGACTAGTACTCTGCAGGGATCTTCAGAAAACGTTCATTTCAGAAAACTCACCAGTTTGAAGCAGTGAAATATCTGTGCAAAAAGGGGGACAGCATTTGGGATGATGATACAGCGACAGCCAATGCAGTGATGTTCCCTGGGACTGGTGGTGGCGGCGCAACAGTTGTTAAGCTTCACCATAAAGTAATACTGGTTGCGGGCGGTGGAGGTGGCATTTTTCCTGAGCAGATCGTCGAATTAGAAAAGCCTGGAGTCAGGTAAATTTCTGTTAAATTATTGCAAGTATGTTTGGTCTTAGAAACAAAAAAGCTCTTGTTGTGCTTGGAAAGG